AATACACCCATGGAAAACTCGAAGTTTTTTCATGCAAATTAAATCATACCATGTCTTAGAACCTGAATGTTCTAACTTTGATGCGCACGAAGATTTTATTTCTCGTATCACCAACGACAATCTTGTTTTTTCCATTAAATGGATTGCCAAACAGTCGCAAATTGATTTCACTGACTTGGAAGTTTCTGACGTAAACTACTTTATGTGGGTGCCAAACGTAAAGCTTCACTTAACTATCGAGAAACTGATAAACCATTGAAGCCAACAATGGCCTCAATAAAGTTGAAAAACCTTTGCCATGACCTTTATTCGAAGACTTAAGGCTGAAGCATTACAATGGAAGTATGTTACTAGGATTTCATGGCTATTTGGCTCACTCTACAGACAATTTAATCATGAAAGATGATCTTGCTTGAAGCAAAACATGATTCAAATTTTTATGTCCATGAATAGGTACAATTATGAAGTTTATAGGATGCAATTGAATTTTGGCTGGAGAAGATTTTTCTGATCCATCCATGTCTTTAACCTTTTCTTGAGCAGCAGTGTAGAGAGCAGAAGTTTACCAAATTATCATATTTGATTATTACCACAACTATGAAAGAAATTCACCCTAGTGATTCGGCTGGGAAGTACCAAATGGTATAGACCCAATTTATAGTCTACCAAATGGTTTAACCCAGTTTCAGTTGGAGCCTACTGAACGACATGCCCTGCTTCGACAAAGATGTACCAAAGGACATTCTCTACTTCAACAGAGGTGTGTCGAACAAAAGGCTTTGCTTCAACATACACTTGTCAAATCTACTCATCCAACTTTGGCTAAAGAGTATCAAATAGACCCCTCTAGTTTCGACCGGAGCCTTTCGAACCCAAAGTCTAGGTCCGTCTCTATCTCGTTCTTACTCACTTTAGGGTTTGCTTTATAACATATGGTAAAATCAAGGGCTGCCAAATGTGGCATCACGGCCAGAAGCGTGATCCTTGGCACTTAAGACATAAATTCCAACATAAAGGACAATATTTGCATGATATTTGGATAACAATCCATCCTCAAGGGGAGCAGGTTGCCTCTCTGATGCATTATTAGGGGTAATTGTCGGACCATATATTTTCCAAGGTTGGAGTAAGGCTGATCCAAATACAGTTATTTCAGAAGTTTGGTCATGGACTCACCAGTTTTGGTTAGAGTTGGATCAAACGGAGCAGCAGTACTACCATCACCTTGTTCCAGGGCAATAGGCAAAGTCCTAGTAACTATGCTAGATGACGCAGAACATGCGATCTGATCTTAATATAGACCCAATCAAATCTTTATAAGTCTTGGAGTTTCTACAATATAGGAATTGACATGTGCCACAAGTAATCACAACTACTAAGATGGTGCAATGTCTAATTCTACATATCCTCTAGGATTCACCATGCTTAGAATGAAGATTCTATCACAAAAGGTCTCTCTTCCCATGGTATAAATACACTCACCTAGGGTTCATCATTGGTAACGCAATCTGAACACTTCACTTCTCTTGCCCATTGTTTGAGTCTAAAATACTATTCCCTAACTTGACCGTCAAGAGATTTTGGCCAGCACACACCCCCTCCCCCTGGTCTTAGGTATGCTCATGGATGTTTATTGTTTTGCAGGTTGCTCGAGTTTGTGCATAACTAACACTCACGGTGGTGCATGAATTTGGTTCCAACATTCCACTTTCTACATTGCCGCTGCATGAGCAAGTTAGAGACATTGAAGGACGAGAAAAATCTTCTCTAGTGAAAATTCAATCGGATTCTATAAACTTTAGAATTGTATGTAGTCAAGGACATAAAGGTTTCAATCATGTTTTGCTTCATGCAAAATAATCTTTCATGCATAGTCCGTGGAGCAAGCCAAAGAGTCATGAAACCCTATTTAGCAAGGTACTATCGTTTGTAAGTATTGAAATGAAGAGTACGTCGACAGCTTATTCAGCTCTTCCATGCTATTTTTGGCCTCGATGAATTCTCAGCTTCTCGATAGTCTAGTGAAGCTTCACGTCTTGTACACACATAAAGTTGTCTCTGTTAGAAATTTCTGTGTTAGTGAAATCGAACTTGTAACGGTTCGACAATCCCCTTAACAGAGGGAACAAGATTAACTCATTAGATTATTTGGAAGTGATTTATATAATAGCAAGAGGAGCCAGCTTAACTCATTAGATTATTAATCCTATTATTAAAATTGTTATGGGATTTTTTCGTGCCACCCATTGATGACTCATGCTCATAAGATGTGAATAATTAAGTTGAGCAAAAGTGCAATAGGTGTCAGTCCTACGCTGCAAAAAGTTTTTTTGGGGGGAGGGGGGGGGGGGGAAGAGTCCAAAGAAGCAAGCAAGGGATAAACCCTAATTTCAACATTGCACTTATAGTTGCTGTTGTAGCTAAATACTTTTAACACGGAACTCCAATTTATGCTCTATGATCAATAATAATGGTGTCTTAAGTTGCATACAACTTATGCTAATCGTTGCATCTTTATCATTATATATGACATGTATACGTGTGCTTTTGAGTCAAAAGACACAAATTAATGTATCAAATAGTTTGCTTGTGAAATCAACTAATTGCCACAAGGTAAACTAGATATATGTATGGAATGAGACCTAACATCTGAAAGTGACCCACAAATGAAAGCTAAAAGCTTATAGAATAGTTAGATAGATCAAAAGGGCAAGTGAATTCCAAAAGGTTGAAAAACCCCACAAGCTATGTTGTATTGTCCCACTTCCACACATTCCACATAATGCATTGTGCGACACATAAAAGGAGAAGCAAAGGTTTTGATGTTAAGGAATTTGAGTGGAGTTGGCTTTGGGTGGAATTTGAGTGTATTGTATATTTACATAATCATATATTTTGTGTTTAGCAAGTAATTTTCAAAATCATATCATAAAAGTAAAATTTTATGAGTACTGAAAGCATAAATTACGTGGTATACTTCATCACATGTTATCATAAAGGTGGATGACAAGGTACACTGAAAAATTGCTACGCGAGAAGCTTTGTGTAAGGGTCATTGACTCTACATCTCTGTTGGCTCCATTTCCTCGCACCCAAAATTATAAAAACCAAGACTTCTGCACTTCTCCTCCAAACACTGAACTAGCTACAATAGCAATAAGCTAGGGAAAGAAAATATAAACCCTAAGATGCTTCCTCAAGTCAAGATTTTCATCCTCATCTTGCTCTTTAACTTTTCGGTTTCAGGTAATATTTTTAAGGTTGCAAATTTCATTGGCTTCAAGTTTTCTAACGCTGAGTTTAGAAAATAAATGAAACCTTTTCTCTTTGTAGGAAGAGCTGACAGATTCAACTATGAACTAGAGCTCACTTCCTCAAGTGGTCATGAGGTATTTAAAACTACGTATTGTATATTTCGTCAACGTCCATGCCAGTGCCGGTCCAGAGATTTTTGAGGCCCGGGGCGACGTCAAAAAAAGTGCCCTAACTTCATGTAAAAAAATTATTTATTTTCACACATAAGACATCGAAAAAATTATACTTAGAAAAACACTTCAAACTCAATAATTTATAAACACTGAAAGACTAATTTATTTTGTATTGAGAGAGGGAAACAAAAAAACTTCGGGCTTACAAGTAGATAGATGATGAGTTTTGTTTTCCATCTGAACTTTGAACGTGTTTTTGAATAAATCGTGAGATGTTTTTTTCTTATTTAATAACCTTGTCAATATGGTACTAAACAATAATGATGTTTTTGAGTCTTTAATTGATATGTCTTATTAATAAATGGGACTAAATTAAACATTTTGATGACACATCATATAATTTGCAAATTTGGTCTACGTATTATTTTTTGTTGAAGATTAGACTTGAATTAAAACGAATATTTAAAAATAACAACCCACATAGCTACTATATAGTAACTAAAAATAAATTAACAACCAAACAAAAATTTGTAAAAATTGAAAAAAAATAAACATGCACATAGCATTTCGAACTTATGACTTCTTGTTAATTTTAAACAACAAAAATCATTGCAAAATGGAAAGTAAATAAGCACACGTTGGGTGTTTTGAACCCAAGACCTCCTCATTATTTTCAAATGACAAACCACCACTTCTAGTTCAATTTCTATGTATTTGAACCAAACTTTATAAATTTATACTCTTATAAAAACATATATAAATATACCACCCTAATAACTTTGGTGCCCCTAATTTTTTTGGGCCCTGGACGGTCGCCCTGCCTGCACTGGGCCTGGGCCGGCCCTGGTCCATGCAAACAAACTGTATGATTTGGTGGTTTAGTTTGATCTTGTTCTTAATCCTGTTTATAAGGCGATTGATTAGCAAATGATAACAGGTGGGAGAAAACTGCTCATTTCACTTGATGCAATTTTGGATTACCAAGAGCCAGGGCCAAATCCAAGTCACGAACCACATAAAGGAGGGAATGCTGGCGGTAGAGGTGGGAATCCTTGAATAACTAGATGATCACCTCCTTTTAGAAGCGGTATGATCTCTTGTGAAAGCCCTATAGAGAGAGAGAGAGAGAGAGAGAGAGAGAGAGAGAGAGAGAGAGAGAGAGGGAGTGATGATGCACGTGTTTCTTGAGTGATATTGAGTGACATAGTTTTATATATTTGGCTTTGAAACTGTGAATATCATGATGAATGTATGTATTATTGGAATAAAATGTCAGAAATAGTATATGCTTGCAAGTACTGTATATACATATCTTGATTAAAATCTAAATCTAGCTAGAATGACATGTAATCAAAATATATGTATACGTTATAATCATAGAGAGGGGAGACAAAACTCACCCTACCAAGGAAATTAATCTTTGATTTTGCATATAGGATCTTAGATATTGTAATATATACGCAAGTTTTTAGCCAAATCCCAAAGTGGGTGAATTCATAAGAAATATTTTTATTATACTGTATATATATTCAAGTTGCACAAAAAAAAAAAAAAAAAGAATAAGAATATTGCAGACCTTTACCATAAATGCAAGAGGTACTTTCGTTTGTAAGTATTTGAAATGAAGAGTACGCTGGTGCTATGAGAAATAAAACCTCTTAAAGCATCAAAGTTAAAACATTCAGGTTCTAAGACATGGTCTGGTTTAGTTTTCATGAAAAATTTCAGATTTTCCATGGGTGTATTGTTTAATGAAAACTATGGATTTTAAGGGCACTAAATTTGAAACTACAAGTTTAAGTTTTGATGAACTTCTTGTTCATAAAAGACCAAACAGGGGTCGGTTGTGGAAATAGGCCAAAATTGGGCTTATCCGTGAGCGCCCCCGCATGGTTCCTCAAGTCAAGATTTTCATCATGCTCCTCTTGCTCTTTAACTTCTCGGTTTCAGGTACGTAAGATTTTTAAGGTTGCAAATCTCATAGGTTTCAAGTTTTCTGAATTTGACTTGGAAAATAAGCCAAACCATCTTCTTTCGTTAATTTGTAGGCAGAGCTGACATCTTCAAGGATGGAATGGAGCTCACCCACTCAAGTGGTCATGCGGTACGTAATTAAAACTATATATATATATATATATATATATATATCATATATTTCATCTCTCACCCTCCATGCAAACAAAACTATTTGATTTTGTGATTTTAGTTTAATGAATTAATTAAATATGTTCATAAACATGTTTGGGAGGTTAATCAGATGCTGAAAGTTGGGAGAAAGCTTCTCGTTTCACCAGATGAACTGTTGGATTACCCGCAGCCAAGGCCGAATCCACGTCATACCCCACCTCCACCTCCTTCAGCTTAGGGATATGAGTTCTTGTAAAATCCCTTGGCATATAGAGAGAGAGTGATGACCTGATGTGTTTCTTACGAGTGTGAGAGAGAGAGAGTTTTATGTTCTTAGGTTTAAAAACCATGATCAAAATGGAATAAAATGTTAGAAACTGAATATGGTTGCAATTACTGCACATATTACATCAGCCATTATCGCATCGTTAATCAAAACTGCAACCTTTTAACTATTTTGTTGTGTGATTTGGCTACTCATGATATTACATAACACATCGATGTACTCAGTCACAACTAGAAAAAAATTCAACAAATGCGCGATTAATTATACAAAAACATAAAAGTATTATTGACACTTTATAATTTTTTTTTTATCAAGAATACTAAAAGCGTAAATTTTTATTTTTGTAAATCATAATTACATTTTTCCCCTTTACGTTTTTGTCTAATTTCAAATTCATACAATGTTTTTCAATTTTTACAATTTCATACAACGGCTCATAGTTCGTACCAATGTCATACATCTTTCTCAATTTAAACTGACCTTTAGGTGATAACGTGACAAATATAATACCTACATTTTTAACGATGTGGCAAATAAAAACTTAATTATCAAACCAATCAATATAAATATCAAAATAATTTTTTTTTTTAACAAATGATATTAACTACACTAAAGAAGAGATGGTGAGTTTAGACTCACAATGAACTAGCAATAATATGGTTCAAATTCGCCTTTGACGTAAATTGAATCTAAAATATCTCACTTCTAAATGAAAAAAAAATACTACTAGATCATAATACTAAGTGACAAATATCAAAATAACTTAAAACAAGGTAAAAAGAAAGGCCCACAACCTTCTTCACCAGATCCTCTCCGCGTCTTTCTCGCCGGAACCAGCGGGCCACTTAATATGGCCATTCATTTATATCTTGCAGCCATAAACTAATTTCAATTTTTTTTTCTTTTTCTTGTTCACTGTCGCCCCTGTTCCCTCGCCGTATGGCCTTAATCTTTTCTCCGTCCTTCTCCAACCATTTCACAAGCCATATAAAGCAAATCTCCAACCCACGAACATTGAGGCACAAATTCAACACAAGAACAAAATTGGCTTTACTATTTCCCATTTCTTTTTCAATTTTATTAATTTCTGGATTTTTTTTTCATTCAATTTCTGTAAAAATCTAAGGGTAACTTTAGGGAGACTAATTTTTTTTAACTAAATGATGTAGATGTTGATGATGAGATTATTACTTAATTGTTGATTAATATGTTTACTTCCTAGTGGTGACACATCATTTAGTTTGCAAATTTAGGCTGCTACAGATCATGAAATTCGGCCGACTCTACATTGATACTCCAGATCACAATATCAAACCAAATCTGGACACCAATAGCTACTCGAATTCGATACTCTAGAACCTGCTAAGAGCCCAGTCCGAGTCAACGTAGCAATTCCAACGAGCTGCACTACTCTCAATCTGCAAAACCATGATCGTGCTAGATCCGCATAACCGAATCTACATGGACAGTCGTCGGACCTACAAATCAGCCCAATCAACCCACGACTCACCGTTGTTGCACTCATGCCTTGTGGGGAAGCTCACCCAACTAAAGAAAGCCCATGATGTAAAAACCCTGTATGGTGGCGTATTATGAATACCCATGTGTTCTCTCTTATATCCCTACTGCGAGTGCAATCAGTTTTCTCTCCCACATAAAAAAGAGAAAAATCTCAAGCCGACGACACCTTAGTGTCATCCAAACCATTTTGAACTAAGTGAGAGGTATTGCTAGCACATTTAAGTCAATCACTCTATTATTTGTTGCTAGTTTATCAGTATGGATATTCTTAGAGACTGAACACTTTGGGAGCTTTACATGATCAATCATGAAAAGGAAGATCGGGAGCACAAGAATAATCCAATCTAGTGGCACATGCGTGGCTAAGGATTCTCTTAAGTTAGTCTGTTCACCATCTTTATTTGCCACTGTATCGATTACAACCAACCTTAATATGCTCAGGAACCCAATAGGTTGATGATGATTGTCTATTTATACCATACTTCAATAAAGTTGAGGAAGAAAATGATGAAGATGAAGTGGTAATTGCTTGTCTTACTAGAGGGAAGAAAAGGGTTGGACCTAGAGAAGATTGGGAAAAGACGGAGGTGTTTATGGGTGAGTTATTCTTTGGTCCCCATGTCTCCTACGACCCTTCATGATGTCACTAAAATAGAGATCACAGATGCGAGAATTTGGTTCCTCCACCCAACATGTAAATCGGTTCACCAACGAAGATACTATTGACGCAATTGGCAATGACATGAGAGCAATATATGACAAACATTTTGGTTTCTACCTTGAATCGAACCTATTACTAGTGATTGCTCTTGTTTTAGGTCAACGGTTCAAACTAAGGCATGTCACTCATCTCCTTAGAAAGCAAGTATTGGAAATTAAGGCCTAGATAAACACCAAGCAAATAATAGATGTAATGCATGCCCTTTTTGAGGAATAAGCTCCAATGGTTCATGGGGGCAAGCACACGAACACCCCCACACCTCCTCTAAGGCCTTCTTCTACATCATCAATTGTTGCCTCGGTCAGAGATGATTGATTACATGATTAAATTGATTGTGGAAGAGAATGAGGAGCAAGTGGTGAAAGTTGAGGTGAACTCATTTGTTGGATTCTTGGAGAAGGTCGAAAAAGAAACCAAGGGTAATTTTGTCATTCTCTCATGGTGGAAGACTAATGGTAGCAAGTATCCTATATTGGCAGGAAATGCAAGACATATTTGCTATTCAAGTCTCTACTATGGCATTGAATATTGCTTTTAGCATCGGAGGAGAGTAATTTTCGATTTTAGAAGTTCCTTAACTCCTAAATTGGTGGAGACATTAATTTGCATGCAAAATTGGTTGAGGGGTGATAATATAATTACTTTGGACGATGATACACTTTCATGGACCACCTAGAGTTCTACGAAAGTATTGAATCTGGGTAGGTTTCTGTTTGTACCATACTTGACCAATCCCGAAACTACTGAGCACTGGTCAACGTTATACCGTCAAGGACCCAGAAGAGTTTCCCTTCAACCAGGAGGCCAATCACAGCGCGACACGTGTCGACATCAAAAGCCAATCATGGCGCGACACGTGTTAACATCAGAAGCCAATCACAACACGACACGTGTCAATGTCAGAATGAAACTAGAAACTCTCTTCTATAAATAGAGATCATTCTCTCACAATATTTCCTAATGTCATTTGTACTAAATCATTCACTTGTACTTACTAAAGGAGAGCTTGAACCTATGTACTTGTGTAAACTCTTCATAATTAATGAGAACTCTTCTACTCCGTGGACGTAGCCAATCTGGGTGAACCACGTACATCTTGTGTTTGCTTCCCTATCATTATCCATTTACATACTTATCCATACTAGTGACCGAAGCAATCTAGCGAAGGTCACAAACTTAACACTTTCTGTTGTACTAAAGTCCTCACTGATTTTGTGCATTAACATTTGGCACCGTCTGTGGGAATGACACTTATTCTCACTGTCTTCAACTTTGTTAAGCTTGTTTCCACCATTCGTACACTCTCTTTTGACCATGCATCCCTTTCCAACATGGGGAGCGAATGAAGCCACATCACACAGAATGACACCCCTTTTGCACCTAGTGCGAAGCAAAGAAAAAAGGAAGGAAGAGGGTTGCTCTTCAAGCTAAAGTCGATGAGCTAGAATCTTAAAACAACAAGATAGCAATGAAGAATGAGGTCCTCCAGGAGCAGTATGAGAAGCTCTTTGAGATGCTCCATGAAAACTAGGCGTACTCAAACACGCGAACTCATTACCCCTGTGGACATTAACCATCATCTGGATGCCTCCCAACAAGGAGGGTCACCTTCCTTCGACATGGGTATCCCTGATGAGGAGCGAGTTAATCATCAAAACATTGATCAACATGAGACTTCTCTCAACCCAGCTGCTTCGACCCGAAGTATGAGAAGTGGAGGAAGACACCTTATTGCAAAAAGGTTGGAAGGATCGAAAGCCGTTTACCGTGACTGCCGAGACTTCCTAAAGCAACGTCGAGAGAATCCCCTCCACATAAGCTCGAAGATCAATGACCCAAGGGTTTCTGAAAGACTAGGTCCCCTCCCACATCCTAGGCCGACTACCAATTTGGGGAAGGGGCAACAAGTCCTAGAGAAACATGAAGGTATAGGGGACTCAGAGATGTTTTGACAGACATACCTTGAAAGTCAGTACGGCGAGTCCAGGGAAAAATTACATGCTCTTGATCAAACATTTCTACTTCCAAGAGGAGATGAAGTTTACGAAAGAAAGCTCTAGTGGTACATGACTCCATTAATGACCCTTTTGTCCTACAGCTTCTTAAGGAAGTAAACAAGTTGAAGGCCGAACGACAAGCTGAGATACCTGATTGGAACCAACCTAGGCCTGGCTCTCTTACAAGGAAGATCATCGACACCCCCCTCCAAGCAAAGACAAAGCAGAAGCTTGGCTTGCAACTCTATAATGGAAATGAGGACCCGATTGAACACTTTAACCTCTTTGAGTCCACCATGGCATACCGGATGCACACCAACGAAGAACGATGTCTTCTCTTCCCCTCCACCCTCTCTGGCGGAGCTCTAAACTGGTATTGCCGTCTTCCACCTGAGACGGTAGACTCATTTGAGGAATTGAGGAAACTGTTTGTTTCTTAACACATTTTACAGACCGATCGCTTGCATTCTGCAGATGACTTGTACACTATTCGCCAGAAGTCGGACGAGTCACTACGATAGTATGTTGGTCGCTTCAGCCATGAGTATTCTCGCTGTGCTCAGGCAGATGACAAGACCGCCCTTAAGGCCTTCACGGCAGGCCCACGTGATTGTTTCTTCAAGTACATGAGCAATGCCAACACTTGGAAGACTTACTCTGAGGTGATGGCACATGCTTACAACCATGCCTCCGCTGAGGCAATGACATATCAAGGGAAACCCCCCACAGCCACCCCTTATCAGCAAGTAGGGAGTGGAAGCCAGATCTAACCAAATGAGAAGACCTCGACCTTCCAAATGGCAGCGGTGCCTCCATTTGCCTTACTTAAAACTTTGCCAAGTCAACAGACATATCAATCTCAGGGCAAAAGGAAAGATTTCCATCCTCACTAGTCTTATTTTAGTAAAAGGAGTA